ATTCACCATGCTTGATAGGAATTGTAGGTCCTGAGATTTATAGTTCACCTGCAATCAATGAGCACTCTGAACTCCACCAAAGATGGAATTGGACCAAATTTGGCACACAGTGCCCCCATGACCAGCAAAAAATACTGGAGGTCTTTGGAGAAAATTAACTTTAATTTGGGGGACTTGCAGTTCACCTACATCCTGAGAGCACTGTGAACCCAAACACTGGTTGATCTGTTCCAAACTAGGCACACATACCTGATATGCTGAAATTTGATTACTTGGAGAGGTTTGGAGGGAACTGACCTTCCTTTCTGGGAGTTGCAGTTCACCTGCAACGAGAGAAACGGTGACCTCCACTGATGATGGACCTAGACCAAACTTGGCACACAGAACCCCCATGACCAACTGAGCCTACTGGAGGGGTTGGAGGGGACTGAGTCACCATAGTGGGAATTGTAGTTTACCCTACAGCCAGAGAGCACACTGAACCCCACTGATGATGCATCTAGAGCAAACATGCCCAACATAACAAACTTTAAGTACTGATAGAATTTTTCGGGGTTAACCTGGCATGATGTGAGTTGCAGTTCACCCACAACCTTATTCATTTTGTACAATTTTAAAAAATGATTTTTTCAAATAACCCGGGCAACGTTGGGTACCCAAGCTAGTATGTAATAAAAACATCAGAGGTGGAGGAAAATATCTAGCTCAAAGTCTCTCTGAAGGAAACAAGTTGTTACTCTTCTCCTCCAAAGGGCAGACAGAGATCACGCCAGGCAGGCCTCAATTGGAGGCAATGAGTGAGAAGACCCTGTCTTTCTGATCCAACTGTTTCACTTAGGAGAGAATGAAATGAATGAGAGTGGCACAAGAGCCTTAGGTCTTAGCTTCTGAGAGTACAAGTGGCTATTATAAAATTCTTGGTGCAAAAAGCTTTCTGGGACTATGTTGAGTGTATAGTTCGAACCAGAATGCATTGGGTTTTACAAGGTCTTTTGCCTTCTCTGCCAAAGGATGCTGGGGTCTCACCAAATGACAACTCCCAGGATTTCCTAGCATTGAGCCGTGGCAGTTCATGTGGGGTCAAACTGCATGCATTCTACTATATAGATTGCATAATAATAATAATAATAATCTTTATTTATATTCTGCTTTATCTCCCCGAGGGGACTCAGAGCAGATTACAGGTACATATATGGCAAACATTCAATGCCATTATACAGTTGACAAAGACAGACAGTAGATAAATAGAGGCTTCCCTCTTTTCATCTCTGGCATCCGGCTGTGCTCAACTCAGCCATGGGGAGGTGCTGTTGTTCCATTTTCCACACTGAGAAGCCTATTGTCCATGGACTCATTTCCTGGTCAGATTTTTATATATTTTTGCTGGCATGTTTTTCAGGGCGCCTTTTAATTCCCCACCAAAGTGGTACCTATTTATCTACTTACATTGTTGTTTTCAAACTGCTAGGTGAGCAGAAGCTGGGCTGACGGTGGGAGCTCACCCCAACCCAGACTTGAACTCTTTAGCAGGCATTTTAACCCAGTGTTCTAGCCCGGCCCGAAAAGTAGCTGGAGCCACGTTGGCTGTAGGAGAGTTTCGAAATCCCATCTATTTCGGAGATGTAGCCAACGCCTTTGTTTCTGTGTTGTGAGCTTTTTTCTTTGGATGGCAAAGTCTCATATTTCTTCAGTGGGATTTCCACATGCACTCCAAAACCCAGCATGATCTGAATCCATACCTAAAACATTTCCCTGCACTGGAAGTGAACTGTGCGTGATTTAAAGGGCCCTACACAGAAGGTCAGCTTACTTAATCCTGCAGTTTTCATTTCCCCGTCTCCGCCCCAAATTCCACCAAAATTAAAAAGCCATCCCCATCTCTTGGAGGCTTATTTATGAACACTTAAAAGCAGGCATAAGTTATGGTTTGGATGCCTTCCTCTTCCAGTGATATACATCCGCTGGTGTGGCACAGCCTTGGAATATTTTTAAAACAGATCACAACAGTGCAATATGGTGCCCCCTTCCTGGTTTGACACGAGTGTTGTTTCTCTTACATATTGGAAGAAAAAAAATAGGAGTTCTTAACCATATTGATTTATCAACTGCTCCATTCATTTGAACTTTTGGAATTGGTGTTTGTTTCCCTCGTTTTTCATGGATCTCAACCCTCCCTTTTTTGGCTGCATGATATATTTCCCTCTCTTCAAAACATTCAGTCCTGTTGATGCTTGCACCTTTTTTTGCTTTCCAGGACTTGGAAAGTTATTTTTGAAAAGTGATTTGTTTGAAATCGACTTTGTTGGCATTGCTTGTATCCCATTTGAAAAGTAACGTGTTGTGGCACCACATTTGGAAAGCAACTTGGGGAAGCGCTTGTTGGATGGCCCACTGCTTTTAGGGGGCATCTGCACTGAAGTATTAATGCTTCAGTTTGACCCCACTTCAACTGCCATGGCCCAGTGCTGTGGAATAATAGGAATTGTCATTTGGTGAGGCATGAGCACTCTCTGACAGAGAAGACTGAAGATCTTGTAAAACTATAATTCCCAAGATTCCATAATATTGAGCCAAGGCAGTTGAAGTGGTGTGACTCTGCATTCCTTTTACAGTGCAGGTACATCCTAGAAGCAGGATCAGAGGGTGTGTTGACACTGAATGCAATTTGATTCCACTTTAACTACCATGGCTTATGCTATTGAATTCCGGGATTTGTAGTTTGGTGAGGTACCAGTGAAATAGAGCAAGGTAAAGCAACCGCGGATAGTGAGATCCGGGCTGAGGATAGCGAGACACAAAGCACAGATATCAAGCCTCGATAAGCAGATACTGGTACTGGTGACAGGCTGCCCTGTGGGTCGGTGTACCTGGTGAGACGAAGAAGCTAAAATCCAATATTCCCAAATAAATCTCGCCAAGTTGAAGAAGAAGCTGATGAGGTGTTTTATTTAATCAGTTGAAAGTGTTGCCAGCTCACGGTAATCTGCCAAAGAAAGCTGAGATACCATACATTGCAAAACAAACATTTTTATACAGTTCCGTCCTTTGAAATTCCCACTCCCGCCCAGCTGGACCCGACTTCGCCATGTTTGGTTAAGTGCTGTTGATGTCACAAAAGGATTCCCTGCTGAGGCGGGACTGTGGCAACTGCCGGCCAATAGGAAAGCGTTCCCTGCTACTAATGCAGATCCCTGCCCTCCAATGGCAGACAAGGGGGAAGAAAGGTGATGAGTCTTAAGTGGATTATTGGGTAATAGCCAAGAGACAAACAAAGGGGGCCATCAGGTCCCATGCGTTTTATTGTAAAAATAATAGCGATATGAGTCTCCAGTGAATGGGTCCAGTGCCTCTGGCACTGCTGTCCAGTGAGTCCAAAAGGAGAAATATTGTCCTTACTGATAGGATTAAGTGGTCTGTTTCTGGGAAAGGGAAATGTCATTGTTGGAGAATAGGGCATGACCCCCTGACGTAGTGGAAGTCATGCCATGTGATAAATGGTGGTAATGTCCAGGTGGCTGAGACAAAGGGCAGGAGGAATGGATCCTGTCATTCTTTGCCCAGTCAGTGGTCTATGGGACTAGTAGAAATGGACTGGCCCAAAGGTGATGGGTGATTGAGTCCTTATGTAGATGATACCCAGGAAGACAGCTGGATGCTGGATGAACTTCCTGTGTCAGGAAATGTGGCTGAAACATCACCATAAAGACTTGGTCAGTAGCATGCTTCTCCAAAAAGGATTTTATATTGAGGCATAAAATATAATATAATGTTGACTCTTTGGCTTAGAAATGGAGATTAGCACCAACCCCCAGAGCCGGACACGACTGGACCTAATGCCAGGGGAAACCTTTACCTTTACTTAAATGCACACACACAAAAAGGTCTGTGGATATCGCGGGAACTCTGTGAATGTCTAGTTAGATGTCCCCAGGGAAGGGAAGATGTACACAAGAGATTTGTGGATACTGGGGGAAACCCTGTGAATGGGTAGGTCTCAGTATCCACGGGGAGGCTAAAGTTGACACGAGGTTTTGGGAGCAAATGTTAGATGAATGCAAGGAGAAATGGGAAGGAGAGTTCTGCTTCAAGGACCGTGGAGGGCCATGTGGGCCATGTGGCCCGAGCAGCCACCAAGTCAACTGTGGAACGTGGAAGTGGGTGAGAAAAGGACTCAGAGAGTGAAAGGGGAGATGGAGAGCCAGAAATTAAGGATAACCATGTTTATTTAGGGGTTAAAGACAATATAACTAATAAAGAAGGGGAGAATGTGCCAAAAATGTATCCTGGGCACTGGTAGCTGCTGCTGGGCTCTTCCATGTATCCGGACGGCCAATCCATGAAACGTTCTCTCCCGCCACCTGCTGAACTCTCCGCTGCGTTGCCAAGTTTATTAAATTAATATTTTGACCTGGATAGGGGGTCCACACTCGACAACACCAGCACTCTTGGGCAGAGGAGGTTGAAGACCTTATAAAACTACAGCTCCCATGATTCCATAACACTTAAAGTGGTGTCAAGCTGAATTAATTCTACAGTGTAGATGCACCCAGAGTTAGCTTCCTTGAGCTTTTTGTCCAAGAAAGGTGGGATATTAATGTTGGAAATAATAATTGGGCATCCGATGTCATGACCAGCTCTCCATTTTCCCAGTTGCCTTCAACTCTGTCTCATCGTCATCGTCATTTCTATCCTGATTTATCTCTCTGAAAAGAGACCCAAAGCACCTATTACCAAAAACAACACTATAGATTTTTGATTTGTGTCCCCAGTATTTACAAATGGTTGTCGTGTGATGTTTGAGTCAATTGGCCAGTCATGAAAAAGCCTCCAAACCAGATTTGTACATCTTTGGTTTTCGAGTCAATATGGGGAAAGCATTTGCTTTGGGAAAAGTTCTGTGTGAGCCCAGAGGTGTTAAACCCCAGAACCCCTCTTCAACCACTCTTTCTCTTTTTCTCTCCTCCCCCTATATGTTCTCTTTTGGTTGCATTTTGTTGCAGAAGGAGCTGAATTCTGTGGCTTCGGAGCTGGCAGCTCGGCAGGAAGAAAGCGAGCATTCTCATAAACATTTAATTGAACTCAGCCGGGAATTTAAGAAAAATGTACCTGAGGTACAGTAGATTTGCTATTATGGAATTAACATGGCGGGGAGGCATATTCCCACCTGCCCACATTCAAGCCGGCCTGTTTTTTGCAATGTGCAGTGGTTTGGTTTCCTACAAAGTGGGGGATTAACAAGCAAAGGAGAAGGTAATTGGCCACAAACACCAATGGTAGGACCCCCCTCCCCCCAAACAATGTTCAGTTATTGGCCATTAAGACTGCAAAGCTCGGAGAGCCTTGTTGCAGGTTATCCTGGCACTTGCCTCTCTGAGCAGATGGAGTGCCACCTTGTTATATGTTGATGTCTTTGCTTGCTCTTCTTCCTCCTTCCCAATAAAATTTATTTTAGTTGCTTTGACAGCTGAGGGCTTCCCTCCCCCTCATGCCAGCCTGCCATTATGTTCCTTCCTGGCATCAACATGGAGAAGATCTGTTGCGGAGGCTCAGAGAAAAGGAACTATCTATTCTTAAGCTTCATTGATGGATGGTCTGGAGAGCAAGGAATAGGAGAGTCCTAGGAAATCCCCAAACCCTAAAGGCATAATTCCATCCACTTGGGACACATCATGCTTCTTTGGTAGTCTAAAAACTATAGCTGCTGGAGGAGCCACACACAGTAAGGAATGGGAGAATTGATGAGAGCATTGATGCTCTCTTGTCTGAAGTGGCTCAAAGGGCCTGAAAACTCCTCCTTGAATTCTAACTGTTAATAATACAATAATAGTACACTTCATTAGCTGTTCAGCAGTGGAACTCTCTGCCGCAGAGTGTGGTGGAGGCTCTTTCTTTGGAGGCTTTTAAACAGGCTGGATTGCCATCTGTCGGTGGTACTTTGAATGCAGTTTTCATGCTTCTTGGCAGGGGATTGGACTGGATGGCCCATGAGGCCTCTTCCAACTCAAGGATTTTATGATTCTATTTATATCCTGCTCTATCTCCCCGAGGGGATTCAGAGCAGACTACAGTATACACATATATAGGCAAACATTCAATGCCTTTTGTACAGTGAACAGTGACATACAATATACAAACAAAGGCAAAGGTTTCCCTTTCCCCGGCGTCTGGAGGCGATGCTGAATTCTGGCCATGGAGAAGTGGTCTTGTTCCATTTTTCCATACCGAGGAGCCTGTTGTCCATAGACCCTCCTGGTTGTGTTTTGCCGGCATGGCTGCATGGGCGCCTTTTACCTTCTCGCCAAGGCAATACCTATGGATCTACTCACATTACATGTTTTTGAACTGCTAGGTTGGCAGGAGCTAGGGCTTTTTCAACTTTTGTATTCATGGTTGTTTCCCCTCTACTTTGTTTTAACGTGTTGTAAGCCACTTGAATCCTGTGCTGGGAGTAAGGTGGGATGTCTATTCAGGGCCGGCCCGTCCATTACTCGAAGTAAGCGGTCGCGGAATACTTTTTTTGCCAGGGGGCGCTGTTTTGTCCTTAGGCCACGCCTCCTCCTGCAGGCCCCATGCGCCCTCAACAGCCTTCTAATGGAGAAGCGCAGGCCCCGCCCACTACGCGAGAGGGAAGTCCTCCCTCCACGTGCTGCCAGGAGGCAGCCAGCCAGGCTCTTTCGCTTTCGCTTTCCCTTCCCTGCAGCTGAGCCTGGACCCCTCTCAGGGCAGCAAGGAGGCCTCCTCAAAAGGTACTGCAAATGTCATCTTTTGTACATGCCTCCCCCAAACCTCTCTAGTATTTGGTAATGGAAGTCCTATATGCCAAGTTTGGTTCAATTCTATTGTTGGTGGAGCTCAGAATGTTCTTTGGTGCTTGGTAAACTGCAATTCCCACATGTCAGGGTCTATTTTTCCCAACCCCCTCTCCAGTATTTTCTGTTAGTCATGGAAGTCCTGTATGCCAAGTTTGGTTCAATTCTATTGTTGGTGGAGCTCAGAATGTTCTTTGGTGCTTGGTAACCTGCAATTCCCAAATGTCAGGGTCTATTTTTCCCAACCCCCTCTCCAGTATTTTCTGTTAGTCATGGAAGTCCTGTATGCCAAGTTTGGTTCAATTCTATTGTTGGTGGAGCTCAGAATGTTCTTTGGTGCTTGGTAAACTGCAATTCCCAAATGTCAGGGTCTATTTTTCCCAACCCCCTCTCCAGTATTTTCTGTTAGTTATGGAAGTCCTGTATGCCAAGTTTGGTTCAAGTTCTATTGTTGGTGGAGCTCAGAATGTTCTTTGGTGCTTGGTAAACTGCAATTCCCAAATGTCAGGGTCTATTTTTCCCAACCCCCTCTCCAGTATTTTCTGTTAGTCATGGAAGTCCTGTATGCTAAGTTTGGTTCAATTCTATTGTTGGTGGAGCTCAGAATGTTCTTTGGTGCTTGGTAAACTGCAATTCCCAAATGTCAGGGTCTATTTTTCCCAACCCCCTCTCCAGTATTTTCTGTTAGTCATGGAAGTCCTGTATACCAAGTTTGGTTCAATTCTATTGTTGGTGGAGCTCAGAATGTTCTTTGGTGCTTGGTAAACTGCAATTCCCAAATGTCAGGGTCTATTTTTCCCAACCCCCTCTCCAGTATTTTCTGTTAGTCATGGAAGTCCTGTATGCCAAGTTTGGTTCAGTTCTATTATTGGTGGAGTTCAGAATGCTCTTTGGTGCTTAGTGAAGCATTCTCACCTGATGTTTCACCCACATCTATGGCAGGCATCCTCAAGAGGCTGTGAGGTCTGTTTGTAACTAGGCAAGTGGGGTTTGTATATCTGTGGAATGTCCAGGGTGGGAAAAAGAACTCATGTCTGCTTGAGGTAAGTGTGAATGTTGCAATTGGTCATCTTGATGAGTATTTAATGGCCTTGCAGCTTCGAAGCCGAGCTAGTTGCTGCCCAGGAATCCTTTGTTGGGAGCGGTTAACTGGCCCTGATTGCTTCATGTCAGGAATTCCCCCCTTTTTTAGTGTTGCTCTTTATTTATTGTTCTGATTTTAGAGGGTACTGGTAGCCAGATTTTGTTCCTCTGAGGTTGCCTGCCATAGATGTGGGGAAAATGTCAGGAGAGAATGCTTCTGGAACATGGCCATACAGCCCAGAAAACTCACAGCAACTCAGTGATTCTGCCCATGAAAGCCTTCCACAACACATTATTATGTTTATTTATACCCTGCTTTTTCTCTCCCCAAGAAGACTCAAGTTGGCTTAGATTAAAAACATTTCAGTACAGTTTAAAATCCACAAATATGCAAACATTAAAATGGAATTAAATATCATTGGTATTTTAAAAATTCAGTTAAAATCCATAAAAAACATATCCAAAACTAAAAACTGCAGCAGACCCTGACTTGATCTTTAAAACCTTTTAAAGCCTGCATTAGATTACCAAATGTAATGTCCCTTTATACACACTGCTTTATATTAATTTCCCCAGTATTCTTTTATCTGATTTGTCATCAACACACTTAATGGACTGCAAAAATATGATCCTGTGTGATTCCTTTCCATTTCCAAGTCGCCCAGTCCTCTGTGTGCCCAGGGGGGAGTCTCTCATCTGGTATCAGCCATGGGCTGAGGTGCTGGGTTTGAGCCTGCCACTTTTGGACTCTCGTTTGCTGAGGTGTTCCAGCGAGTGTCTCTGTAGATCTTAGAAAACTTATAAAAACATATTTAAGATCAACTTTGAGTCAAGAGCGCTTGAGTGGACTAGCAACCTTGGCCATTGAAAATGGCTTGTTGGATGAAATGGAAACAGATATAATAGTACACGAGTTTTCAAAATTGAAAGCCAGAAAAATCTCTTTTTAATTTTAAAAGTGTTCAAGTTTATTTGTGTTAAGGAAAACTGGATGTTAAAGTATCCACTAAAGTGAAGGGGCCAGAGGCTGACTATGTTGCCACACCCATTGTAATGGTCCAGGCTGGCATGGCACTTTTGAAGGACAAGAGTTCACTTTCTTAAAAAGGAGGTGTCTATTCTCCTGGGGCTGCGTTCTCCAAAACAAATCTGATTGACAGACCCAACAAGCATGGGATTGAGTTCTCTGTTATTAGCAAACCCCTAGTCTGAAAAATCTTCTCTGAAGAGACAGCATGACCAGGAAACCTTTGTGTAGTACTTGTAGACCAAAAATAACAACAAAAACTTAAAATTGTTGCTAAGTTTAGTAAAATATTTGCATTCTTAAAAAGTTAATTTGTGTAATGTAACTATATAAACATAATGTTGTAAGTAAATTTCTGGTTTGTAAGGTAACTCTTTTATTCACCTCTACCTTCTACGTTTTATTTTTCAGTGATTGGTTGGGGGGAGGGGGCGCCAAAATAATGTTTGCTTACCATTGAAAATTACCTAGGGCCGGCCCTGTGTCTATTCAATAAAATCAGTAGATCAATCAACCAATATAGAATATCTCTCATTTGTTAGGAGGAAAGCGCAAAACACAACCTCTCCTACCACTGAATCAGCCTCAGAGGAAGGGAATTCTGAATCTGGCCAAGAAACTGTGATAGGGTTGCTAGAAGTCAGAAATGCTTTGAAGGCCCACAACAACAACAGCAACAACAGCAATGTTGCCACACATCAATAATAATAATAATAATAATAATAATAGTTCGACTTGTGATTTTGTGATACGAAATCCAACATATAGATCTCATTTTCTGTGTTTTTGTGTCAGTAAAATAATATGTTTTATTTATATTCCGCTCTATCTCCCTGAGAGGACTCAGGGCGGATTACAGTACACATATATGGCAAACATTAAATGCCATTATACAATTAACAAAGACACAGTACATAAACAGAGGCAAAGGCTTCCCATCTTTTTCCATCTCTGGCATCTGGAGGCTGTGCTTGACTCTGGCCACAGGGTGCGGGCTGCTGTCGCTCCATCTTCCATGCTTTTGTTGTCCTTAGATGCTCTCACATGGGCATGTCCACATGGGCGTCTTTTTTACCTCCCTTCCAAAGTGGTACCTATTTATCTACTCATATTGCTGTTTTTGAACTGCAAGGTGAGCTGAAGTTGAGCTGATGGTTGGGAGCTCACCCCAACCTGGCTTGAACTGTTGACCTGCTGTGCTAATGCCCGGCCCTTTTTCTCATGATCTAAGGCATCATCAGAACCCAGAGAAAATATCTTTCTGCCTCTTTCTGCTTCATCAGAATGATTGTGTTTGTTATCAATATGCAAATGTAATCAGTTAATTAGAGGAATGAAATGTGTAAAATTAATTAAGGCTCAGGTTTCTTTAAGGAACTGGACACCCTGCCTTAATATGAATTAGAATCCAGATTAGTAAAAGCCTTTCTTGGTTTAACAGTTTTAACCTAATTGAGAATACCCCTGGCTTTTTATCTTTTCAGGGGGTCCGAGATATGGTGGCACCCGTCCTAAAGAGCTTCCAGGCTGAGGTAAGGCACCTTCTGTCTCCAGATATGAGTTTCCATCTCTTTTTGTCCAACTTTTTTCCATACCTACTTGTTGCCAATCCCAAAGGCTTGTTATGTCTGTATTCCTCTGTGAAACGGTGAGGGCATTTCAATATGATATATTTTGCAAGTTTATGCCAAGATAAGGTTCTGTTTGGCCTTGAGCTTCTATTTTGTGTCTGGAAATGGTCTTGGGGTGCTTTATGAACAAATCCATAACTTGATGCATCCTGGGAATTCTTTCCCAAGTGTCTTGGACAGATCTCCAAAAGAGAGAAAAAGAGCAATATTTGTGGAGAAAATGCTAATATCTGTGTATATAACCAACCCTTGTATATGGATGCCACCTAAAGAAGTGCCTTGAGTGATCTTGGAATTTTTTTGGTGAGTTGTGGTAGCAGTTTTAGGGACAACATGTCGTTGATTTCATTGATTTATTGCATTTATTCCCCATTTTTCCTTCTGTGAGTAGATGGCAGTGCATGTGGCCCTTTTCTTCCCTGTCTTATCCTTTCATCCGGAGGTTGGCCAGGTGGAAAGAGTTAGTTGGGAATGGAACCTGGATCTTTCAAGTTCCAGTGCAGTAGTGGAACACCTGGCTATGGAACACCCTTCTTAGGGACATTAGATCTGCCCCCTCCCTTTTGTCTTTCCGAAAAAAAGTCAAAACCTGGCTATTTGAGCAGGCGTTTGAAAACAGACGCAGGATTATGGAACAATTGGACTATGAGATTGGATTATGTTTTTATCTAGGAGATGAAGTGATTTGTTTTTTACTACTGTTATAGTTTTAATTGATATGTTTTTAAATGTGTTAAATGTTTTTATGATATTGTTGGCATTGAATTGTTGCCGTGTGAACCACCTCGAGTCGCCTGCGGGCTGAGAGGGGCAGTATACAAATGTAGCAAATAAATAAATAAATAGTCCAACCACTAGACCACAGGAGCAACTTTATCTGGGGGAAGTGAATGGTCAAGCTAACCAGTAGTCAGGTATAGTTTGAGAACAACTCCAATGTGATGGAGTCACCCCTGAATGAGGGAGCTTTATTGACCCATTAGGGGACTTGATCCCTGATAGTGGCCATAGCCAACCCTGATGGCATGAGCTCAAAGCTCTCTTTCCTCGCAAGTCTTTGTGGCCCTGGGTCCCACTTCTTTTCTGACTGTTTAACATATGCCAGCAGAAGTTGCCCCTATAGTTTCTGTTGGCTCCTTTTCTATGTATCATTTTCAAGGCATTCCAGGTGTGGAAATGAGATCCATTCTGACTCTAAGCGCAGCCATGACTGGGGAAGATTTAAATTCTACCAAGGGGGGGGGGGGGGAGAGAGGAAGAGGGAATGCAGGCATGTGAGAAAAATCATGCGTTGGGACGTTCCTAAAATGATCGTTTGTCTCCTGGGGTTTTTTTTTGGGGGGGGGGGGGAGAAGAAGGTGGCCTGCCTCCTGTGCTGTTGCGTTCTGTTGTGTTTTGCTCCAACCCCCCAGAGAATCTCTGGCGCACGGCAACAACACATTAGAGGCTGTCATCTTGCGAGCTTTGTGTTACTTTTAAATCTGTCTCTTTGGAACGATATAACAGCAGAAGGAGAAATATGAAACAATAACTGGATTTACACAAATGTGGACTGATTTCCATATTTTTCATCACTTCATTTTATTACCCGGTTTTTACTGATATGCTTATTTATTTATAGGGCAATCCGGTATTGATTCATTCCGAAATGCTCGGCATAAACACATAAAAGAGAGTGATAACAATAGGAATATATTTCTCGTTGCTTTAAATACTGCCTATTCTCCCAGCAGACCTTGTTAGGTCCTCTGGGAAAACAGCAGGAACATGCCTGGGAGCGCATGTGGGCACTTTCCAATGCAGAATGGTTCTGCCAGGGAGGAGAGGTGGCAAACCACACTGCCACCATGACCTCCTGACTTGTGACAAGGGGTAAGCGCATTTTATCTTGTCTAGCGGTGGTGCTGGTTACCATTGTCTAGCCTTGACTCTGAACTCTGCAGTTTCCCCGCGGGCAGGTCACTCTGGCTGACTGCTGGTAGTGGAGTCTGCAGTCTGGGTGCCCAAAGTGCCTGGGTCAACAGAGGGCAGGGTGTATGCAAGAGACTCCCAAGTATGTGAATGAAAGGGTGTTTAGGTGCATGGCTGGATGAGACAGGCAGGCAAGCACTGAGTGTTTACTTTGCATCCTCCCTGCCAGACTGGCCCCTGGCATCGCTCTTAAGATACATGGTTCACCACAGCAGGCATGTTGTTATCAATTTGGCCTCCTAGCACTGTTCCCATTATCATTGAACAATGTAGACTCTGACAAGCACAGGGTATATTTAAATGTCCCCTCCGTGCGTTTGGTGTCGCTGACTCCTAGGTAAGTGTCCAGAGGATCGATTCCATGCAAACTTTTAACTACTGGCCTCTGTCTTCCCATTTCATAGTGTGTGTTCCTTTCTGATTCATACTATCTTAGCATATTGGTGATCCAGTTTTGTCTAGCTTCTTCTTGAGGGAGACTCATGCCTCCCTGCCATGGCTACCCATCCTAGGACTCATGGAGGTTTAGCCATGTGATCCTGCTTTAGATAATAATAATAATAATAATAATAATAATTATTATTATTATTATTATTATTTGCCAATACATCATGCAGTCCTTGGGAAGTGTCTGACGTGTGATCCAGTACAACAGCCAGCAGAGTGTTCTTGTCTGCTGTGGACTCATCTTGTTGTGTTTCAAATAATAATAATAATAATAATAATAATACAATTCATTTAGATTCTGCTTTATCTCCCCAGAGGGACTCAGAGCAGATTACAATACACATATGAAGCAAACATCCCATGCCTTTTTACACACACAGTGAACAATTACATACAACACAGAAAAAGGTAAAGGGCTTCTCCGTTTTTCTATCTCCAGCGTCTGGAGACAATGCTCAACTCCGACCATGGGGAGGTACTCTTGTTCCATTTTCCATGCCAAGGAGCCTGTTGTCCATGGACATCTCCAATTGTGTGGCCGGCATGTCTGCATAGGGCACTTTTTGCCTTGTCAATGAGATGGTACCTTTTGATCTACTTGCATTGCATGCTTTGAACTGCTAGGTTGGCAGGAGCTAGGGCTGACGGTCAAGAGCTCACCACGACTTGCAGCTTTGAACTGCCAACCTTCCAGTTAGCTAATAGTGGTGTATCCTGAACCCGGGTTCCTCTGAGTGCAGAACCACTTTTCCCACTGCCATACTGACCCTTTTTTGGACCAACTCTCATTGTGACTCATGGCATTTCAGCAAAATGGGCCTCCACAAGGGGCCATGTTTACCAGTGCCCTGACTGTCCAGGGAAAGGGAGACATTGCGCCTCTACTGCAGAAATAGTGGACAGGAGGGAAGGAGATAGTGGAGAAGGGAAAGGCTTTCATTTTCTTAACTGGATTAAAGAAATTAAAAACCTAGCTTTCATTTTTTTTTCCATCAAGGCAGAGACAAAAGGCCGCCCACGACAGACATGGTGTGGCAACAGCTCGAAGTGGCCAAAGTTCCGAGTCTCCTTGCAAGTGGAGGAAAGAGCAAAGCCAGAGCCCCGCTAATTACAAAAGTTGCTTTATGAAAGATAATTCAAAGCAATAATTTAGCAAACATAATCAAGTAGCACAGATGGGGATTCTGATGAATAGTTTGCAACATGTAATTAGCAGCTCTTGCAGTTACATATCATTAACCCTCGGAGCACAAAAATTATTTTCTCATTATTAGATGAAAAGGTAAAATTAAGCTGACTAGACAGTTAAGGAACAAACTACAATTAATTACCTTCATTTATTACAGTCATTATTTGAAACTCCCCCCTCTCTCCCTCCTTCTTTTTCTCCTCCTCCTTTTGTGGGATGGATGAAAACATCTAAATTAAAAGTTTTAGTGCATTAAAATGAAGGTGAAATATTGATGGTGGAAAGAGACCTAAAGAAGGAGTGCTAGACAAAGATGGAGAGTCCAATCACTGGAACTCTTTCCATGATACCCAGCCCAGTATGTTTCCCAAAGCAATTTTAGAAAACTCAAAAGAAACATGGGGCAAATACAGGACAACAGAAACAGGCCCAAGGCATTCTGTTCATGTAAAGCTGAAATGAGATACAAGATTATTATCAGGTGAGCTCTGACCCAATGGTGGTTGTCTTTAGCAGTATCACTATCCTGGACAAACAAAGCAGCATCTTCTCGGGGGCTTCCAAGCCTGCTTCATGCCAGCTATCTTCAGAGGTTCTTGAAGTTCAGGACTCATTTTGATTTTCTCTGCCCATATTAAAATGGCTCCAAATGGCTGCTTTCCATCTTCTTTGCTCCATTGTTTTCCGTCTCCAGCCACTGAAGCTGTCATTTGTATTCCAAGCTTGTAAAGATACCTTCATATGGAGTGTTGATTGTCCAATCGCCCTGTCTTATTTGCTAAATTTCATGGGGCTCAGTCAACAACAGTTTCTATTTTCAATCCTCTTGAAGTTTCCTTCTGCTTCATTATTATTATTATTATTATTATTATTTCCTTACCAGGGCAAAAAAAAATGATAAGAAGGAAAAGAGGTCAAAAAGGTGACAGGAAATGAAGTGGCATAACTTCCAGTCACCCTTTTGAGAGGGACTGCAGAGGACAATGGAGGCATTTGGCCTTGGTGTCAGGGGATATTTGTCCTGTGCAGAGAGGATTGGGTTGGCATTGATCCCTGGCCCCCATCAGGGCCATGGTGACGCAATGGGTTAAACCCTTGTGCTGCTGAACTGCTGACTGGGAGGTTGGTAGTTCAAATCTGCGGGACGGGGTGAGCTCCCGCTGTTAGCCATAGCTCCTGGCAGGCCCGTAGCCAGGATTTTGATTCGGGGGGGGGGCTGAGTTTGAGTGAAAGAGGGTCTACCCTAGCAAACTTTTGTATTGTTACCCCAATACCCCCATGCATATGGGATATA